CAAAATAAGAAAGAGAGAAGCTTAGAAATGAAACAAAATGGATGCGAGGGAGAGGACAGAAACAATTCTTGATGGAGCCGGTCGGGTTAAGGCAAGGAAATGAGAGAACTCATTGACAAGCAAAAGAACCCCAAAAAAATGGGCATATCTCTCGGTTTAAGAATGGTGGGGTTTAGGTTTGGTATTTATTAGCCCACAATGCAAGCTACTTTGTTAATTTACGAGCCTTCTTTGACCTTTCCATCCCATTCAAGCTGATCACATACAATTAATGCATATTATTATACATGTTATTATTATATAGAATAAACTGATCAGGCCTCATCACACAGCTAATCCGTATATGTTTTCCCAATGAAGCGTAATAAGGATACAGCTCATTCATTTCATCGGTATGTTCACCAAACGGCCCCTTATATTAATCAGTAATCACAATGGAAACGGTCCTCGCATTTGCGCTCAGGCCCCACGCATGCACACCCATATATTGTAGTACACTTGGACTGGTTTTGTGATTACCGTTGCGTCTTTTCCGCCAATTTAATACTAGTAACTCATAGTACTACTTACCAGTTATATATAGTAGTCCTGTATAAATACGGTTTATTTTTTAGACTCGTTCATGGCTAATTTGTTTCCAGAATGAGTGAGCAAGCCCCCTTTATCATTATATTATATTTTGAATTTGAGCTAAAGTTTCCTGGTAAGCCAGAAATGGAAGAGGGAGAGAGAGGAGATGCAGACACAGCCCAAATCCTAATCCTAAGTTACTTAATAAATGAATAATTGAACGTGTGCTATACCAAATCGTAAACATATACTCTTCCTTCAAACTAATTAATCCTTGATCCCGAATGCACACACGGTGTCATTAGTTTAATGGTTTTTCTTGGGTTGCTTCGAAACAATCATGGATTGGGCAGTTGATCAAATCCTTAAGCCACGTACAGTTCCCTCACGAGCAACTTGATTCCCAACAACAGCAAAACTACTCCTCCAAGAGAAGTTTAGGTGGAAGAATGATACCCAATTTCGCAACAACGAAGATTTTCGTTTTCTCCCAGGGAAAAAAAAGAAAGAAAATTAAAAAAATATATATCTTGGATGCTGGGTCCCCCCTCTTATTTGAGAGAGATAGCCAAGTATAAACAGATGGACAAAGTTAGGTGACGAAATCCAAGTATTGCTATCGGATATATTTGTCTTGGTGCCTCAATTATTATATGGAAGGTTGAGACCAAAAATAATGGGGAAAAAACGGGGGGGGGGGGTTCACCGCATGTCGATCCAGCAATGATTAAAGTGACATGGACATTATTAGATATTCAGAGTCCATTTAATTTAAGTTTTGGTTTTAAATTAGCTTCCCACCATATTAATTATTACCCTTAATTATTTGACCCCCATTTCTCACCCTCTTAACCATTTTAGGTTGCCTAACACTGGTTCCCAGCGTCCAGGTGCAAATCAACCTAACTTCATATGGCCTCTAGTTCCTCCTACCTCTGAGTTGGTGTGTATAAGGTGACTTGCCATACTCGTCACATACGTCCACAGTGCGAAACAGCGACTTTTTCAACAACTCTTAAAAATAATAAGCTTTGGATCGATATTTTTACATCAATATTGCCAATGATCACCGTAAAATATAAAAATATGGATTCAGTTCAACTCATGTTTTGGACTACATATACATGCAGCAAAGGCCGTCTAATTAACCATATAACCAGACCTGTGCATGTTTTCCCCCGTTTTTACTGAGCTATCGTATAAAATGATTAATAACAGTGAGGCGCTGGGGCAAACAAATATTATAATAGGACTGGAAACAGTGTACTCCGAACCGAATTCGCAAAAGGAAAAAGCGAAGACGTTGATAATGCTATGGTATATTATATACACACATGCCAAGCTGGGAGAGATTTGAAAGAAAGGAAAAGGCCATAATTGAATAAAGTTGATGACATGTAGGTTCCAGGGGCAGAGCCTAACGAGGTTGGTTCATAATCATCACCAATATTTAACATACATATATATATATTGGCCAAAACGTGTGTGTGTGTGTGTGTAGTGTGGGTGTGTGTCTTATAAATAGAAAGGGTCACACTACTTATCACAGCTTACCCTAAAGTTCACATTAATACATAGGCCCACTCCTCAGGTGGAGGTGCTTTTGTTTTCTAATGCAAAGGGAAGTAGTGGGAATTAGCAAAGGCCCTCCTTTGAGAGTTTTCTAGGGATTCACGAATCACTCCATCACGTGACGTTGATTTCGATAGTTGTTAAATGGCACTGCTTTTAACTCAGAAGTGAAATTAGGATGCTACGGTGAGGAAGCTCCCACGTTCTCACTGTCTAACCAATTGGAGCAATGGATGAGATGAGACGCTAACATTTGACGGGTATATGTGTGTGTTTGTATGCATTGCAATTACAGTTTGTCTGACCTCTTTGGCTTTCAATTTGTGGTCCAAAATGGAGCCCAAAAACGCTAAACGTCGGACCTACCAAATTGGAACTTTCGAAATCACAGCAATAGCGGCTACTCTCTGGAGCATGACATGCTTCAAATAAGGACTGAGTTCATTAATGTTATACTGTGGGACATATGCTGCGGATTGAGGCATCATCCGAGTGCGAGTCAAGAACGCAGTGGAAGGAGGCTTCAATTGGGTTGGTGCTATGTGTAAGGAAAAAAGGAGGGCAACTGTACAAGCATATGCGTATCTTCATATAGAAAGCCTAATAATATTAACATTGGAAGTACGTATTGCTCGGGCTGGTCACCTCTGGGCGTCTTTCTGTACGGGGAATATTTTTCTACACAGAAAGGGTATGCATGCCTGCGGTGAGAACGTAAGCTACATTTGTGCTGGTTTTGGAGTGGTACTAGAAACTACAAAGTTAGATCAGGAGGAGATTAACGTTCTGTTTAGTTCCGTTTAGTATGAGAGAAATAAAGAGAGCAAAAGAGGAGGAGAAATTTTAATGAGATCAATTTAAAAAATTAACGTGCAATTAAAAGCTTTTAATTGAATTTTATTATTCTTTTATCTTCTATTTTCTATCTTCTCTTTATTAAAATTTTGAAACTTCACTTTTGTATTTTTCAAATTGAGCTCATTAAGATATTTCTTCCTCTCCCCTCCCCTCCATTTTCTTCCTACTAAACATAGGGTAGAGGTGACATTGCGGGTCCGTTGACGCGATCACCAGAGTCAGGTGGATTTAATTACGGTGCCTCGTGTAAAATGCGTGATCTTGTCTCCTCACCAGATTTATCTTGTTATGGATAATGGTTCTGTTCACCGTTTAACAGTTGCTGCTTCGTGGTGTATCATTCCTCGCAAATTAAATATTCATACTCAACCAACCTAATTTAACAGTTACTGCATTGGTCGCTGGAAAAAAAAAAAAGTTACCGCATTGGCAACCTGCATGTCGTGGGAAAGGCTAATCATGCATGCAGTTATTCATCAAAATGGACACTTGCAAACGGACTTTTTAAATGGGCTGTCAGAGTTGGATAGAGGTTGTGGGTGGCCATAAACCATTTTTTGGATAAAAATGCCCATAAACTACGGAGTATGGGCCGAGCCCATATATATGAGAACCTAGACCCAAAAAACTCGGGAAAAGAGAATATCAATTATACAATGAAAAATATAATCATATTTATAAAGTATTTTCAACATGTTTTATACAGACTAAAAAAAATCTTAAATTACATTAATTCTTCATTAAAATATAACAAATTTTTAACTTTATCTCTATTTAATATATACTTATTTTAAAAACAATAACCATCTACATTATAATAAATGAAGTACAATATGATACATTCATGATAAAAATTTATTGAAGTAACTTATAAATAAGGCCAAAAATTTTTTAAAAAGCAAATCGTTTATAGTTGAATATATTAAAAGACCGTTTGAAATGGGTTATAAATAACTTTTCTTTTTTTCTTTTTGATGAGAGGTTATAAATAAATTTTTATATAAAAATAAGTTTATAAGTGATTCTAAATAAGGCCTAATATTTGACAAAAAGGTAAAAAGGCCTGTTAGAATGATCTGCATAAATTTTTACCGCTCCGTCAACTTAAACTTGCATTTTGCTCAACCTCTCTGTGATCGATGATGGGTCGGTAGGCCGGAGTTCCAAAACCATAACCCTTTTGATTGTTGCGATTTTTTCGGGGAAGATTTCGTCCCATCGGTGAAAAGGTGGATGTTACAGCGTCATCCGTCTTTTGTTCGACCTCTTGATGAAATAGATTCGAAGGTCCCTAACCCAATACGACCACCCTTCAAGAACCACGGCCACCAGATTAACTTGACGATCCTACTTTTCTCAGATGCCGTTTGGCGGGAGCATTGGATTTGATTTCAAATGCTTCTCAATTAATGATAAACGATGAATGTTTAGTCAGTACTCGTCCGGACTTGGCTCCCAATTCTGGCTGCTCTGTTTCATCTGACCCTGTGCCCTGCTTTTGCAAATGAATCGCGTCGTTAAGTTTTTAGAAATCCAATCTTTATCCTCTTTCTTCTCCTATAAATAAAGTTTTCTCTCCGTCATTCATCTCAGCCGTTGTAAGGAACGGAGGTAGTACTAAGTTAAACAATCATTCCCCTGCATAAAGTGCATCGTTTAATTTGATATGGAATGATAATTGTTGGCAATGCACCTCTAGATTCTCAGGCTACTATAAAGTAACTTTGATAGTTGAAAAAATCTGATCTATTAGATATTTAATCCGACATGTAACAGAAAAATACTTGTATTACAGCCCGGAAGAGAGCTCTGTTATACTCCTCCGAAGGACCCAATTCTTATGTTGGTTTGGTCTAAATATAAGACCCCTTTCTCATATTTATCAATTTTTTCTAAAATACCCTTATGGATACTCTGTTATTATGAAAACATAAGGCTGTAGGATGTTGCTTTGAAAAGTTTTCACTGAAATCCCAGGAATTGGCCCCTTTTAAGGGGTATTCCCAGCTGTCAAGGCCTACTATCTGGTCCAAGATATTTGGGGGGGGGGGGGGAGTCCAACTATTGGTATGTGGTCCATGTACTGAGGAGTCCATACATCAGGGGATATTCGGTCTCACTCACACCACCTCTCAACCTAGTATTTCCTGTATATACGGAGGTCTTCCACTAAATAACCGGAAAGAAGAACCTTCAGGTAGATGTGAAAAACTTTGATAACTGTTGATCAAAGGCCAGCTCGGTCAAGCACTTGAAAAATTAAACTCAAGTTGTCCAATTAGTCCATTCTGGACGAACATATGAAAGATGTGGCTATGACTCTTCAATGATGCGCGGAGCAAAGAATGTTGCCTCGGGAGGAGGAACAGAATGGAGCTTCTGAAGTAGCGTCATGATTGGGATAGAAGGCCCTGCAGAGCTCATTGTATCTGTGGGCGTCGAATTGGTAAGTCTTCATTAGGCGTTGTTGCTTGGTGGTGAATCGTCGGAAGAAGTAGCCCTGGAAGGAGGGCTCAGTGGAGGTTTTGAGAAAGAAGAGGTAAGCGAGAGCGAAATGGAAGGAGGTGACGAAGAAGCAAATGGGCTCCATGACGTCCCAGCTAAGTTCCCAGAAAGTAAGCCTCATGAAGGCCAGGGTTTGCAGCACCAGCAAGACCAGTCCGCAGTAAAGCTCGCCTCGAACCAAAGCGTTTGCCTTCTCATCTATCATCGCCTTCTGCTTTTCCATCTCCTCCAGTTCCATCCTCCTCGGGTCCTTTGGATGCCCTATTGTTTTCCAGATCAAGCTCTCCATGGTCTTCGCCACCTGTAACCCGCCAAAACCATAATTCAATCAGCTCAAATGAGTCGACATTCTATAAATATTTTTATCAACTCCAAACATGTAGTTTAAGGATGCACCGAATCAGACAGAAAAGGCAAGAAAAATACTACTATATAGGAAGGACGTTCCCTCACGCAAGGAAAGGGAACTTTTGTAACTTGAGAGGCTACCAATCCCTCAAAAACAGGGGAATCAGGCTCCTTCAATCCCGGCCATCAAAAGAATAAATTACTGGGGTTTGGAAATGAGCTCGCGTCGGTCTAATGCTGACGTGAATAATGGCGAACGGATTACCACGTTTTGGCTATGAGGCACGGCCTCAGGTGCTCTCCCTCACCTCCCCTCCAATGGATGCACGTCCACGCGTGTTCAGGAGATATTGTCTGGACGTCGCTGCTCGCTTCTAGTTCTATCTCGCGGCCAGTTTTGTTTGTTTATTTATTTATTAAGAACGTCATTACTTAATCTTATCGAGCAAAGTAATTCCTGAAGTGTGATTGTGTGAAGACCATAAACCAAAAAAAAAAAAAAACTGAAATATTAATCCGAAATTAGGAACAAGCGGGATCATGTTCATGGCAGAGGGAGCTTAATTACCTACCTGTTCAGGTCGCAGGAAGACCACGTTTCCCCAAACGATGACGTTCCCGGACTCATCCAACATCTTGGCCACCTTGGCGCCCTCTTTAACGTTCTCGCAAGCATCAACGCATAGCTCCATATACTCAGAGTGAGAAATCGAGGTCCTTGGGATCTCCCTCAACTTCGCTTTCAGCTTCTCCACCCGCGATAGCTTAAGAATCTTCCTCGCATCATTGACAGTCATTCCGAATGGCGAATCACCCTTGGCTTTCTCCCTCGCCGGCGGACCGAGACCATCGAGGCGGAGGCGATCTCCCTCGATGCCGATGGCTTTGAGCCTCTCCCTGAGTTTCTCTCCAACGGGAAGTGAGAGACACTCCGGCAGGTCGGAGGGGCCAGAGTAATATACGGCTCTGCGGTTGTGAAGGCGGCCATAGAAGGCTCTGCGAGGGGAATGAGGCGAGGCGAGGTGCTCTCGAAGGAGCTTTGTTCTGAACGCATTGGGGGGGAGGATGGCATGGCGCGGAGAGGGGGGGATAGGAGTGCGTTCTGAAGCTGCCGACTGTGCGATGGTTTTACAACAGTGGAAGAGGCGGTTGGAAAAGGATTTGCGAAACGCCATTGATGAGTGAGAGAGAAAGATGGAAGAGGGAGAAATGGGACCGATTTTTAGTGAGGACTGAGGTAAGGAATGGCCCGAGGTATGGGAAGAAAAGAAGGGAGTATATATAGGTCCAAGGGAAGAGGAAGAGAGAGAGAAGAAATCTTTTTCATAAAAGCAGGCGTGCTGCAATCGAGTGCAGAGTTCAGAATCTGAGAAATGTTCGTTATGTTGTCAAGTATGGATCTTTTCTTTGCTTTTTTTCCCGAATAAATGAGGAAGGTGCATTGATCTCAGAATGACGGGCACGCATTTGATTTCACAAAACCAAAGGGGTGCGTGTGGAGGCCACAGAACCTTGTTTCATTCCATAGAAGTTAACACTTCGGTCTGTCCATGCGTGTGATGACTTCTTGTTTGGCGCACATCAATCCCTTCCAAATATGCCATCATTCATACACTAACTAGGATCCCACTCCTCCTAGTTAATTCCCCTTCTTTTACCTCTCTCTCTGTGATAGACCAATTCTCACACTATTCAGCTCTGTTCCTCAACATTGTGATTAATTACGTGTATATGTAATATAAATTGCTCCCAATGCATACCATTTATGTCGAGTGTTTAATATTGATCTCAATTCCCGACCAAATTTTGTCTGCACACCCATCTCTCTGTTCATAATTTCCCACTCTAACCATTATGTGTTGATTGCACATTAATTAATTCCTTTTTAATCATCAAATAATGCACGAAATTGCCACTATATGCGGTTGTCCTCATCACTTGTGCTTCGTTTATGACCCACCAGGCTAACTTCACTGCTCAAAGAAAGTGAGTCGGGTCGGAAAGGTGTGAACACGTACACGCATAAAATATTATTGTAAGTAATTTCAATTTGATTCGTTTTTTATATGTATCGTTTGTGTGGGAAAATGCATGGTAGTTGGACAAAATTAAATAAATTATTTTCGGATGCATTTGATTTTCTTGAATATAAATTATATCAGAATTCTCTTGGTGGCCGCTCTCCAGAAGAATAAAATAAAAGATGGAATTCAATTCATGTCCTTCTAATTTACAGAAGGGACAGAATCAAACGAAGCACAAAATATACTATATATGACCCGAGGGCGTAAGGAAAAGCCCAAATGGGTCGACATTGACCGCCAAATATAATTAATATGCCACCCTCCCTTCATTGTTCCTCCTTAATTCATTTTTTCGATCCGTTACTTTCCTTTTTTTTTAATATATTTTACGCAAACCAGACACTACGCATAACTAAGATGTTTATTCGGCCTGAACAACCCGATTGTTATTACCTTTTGTCTCATCCAACGGGAACAGTTAAAATTCGTTGGAGGATGAAATATCTGCAACTACTGATGTGAAATACGTTAAATAAACCATCTAATCATCTGGTCCACAGGGAATATTTTTATGCCAATAGAATATTAAACAGAGGGATTCCTGCACATATGGATCTGATATAGAAAACGATACCACCAGATATGGCCGTTCGTTTCCTAAATTTAAGTAGTTAATTGACTGGCGAAATGCATATGTAGATGACAGTCAAAGTAGATTTTTTGTTTTTATTTCCACAAGTACAAATTGGTTACCATCGAGATTATATATTATGTACAGAATCGGGTTTGGGGCGCTTCGATCTGTGAAGGGAATAATACCACACACACATATTTGAAAGCTATACGTGCAAATGGATGATTATAAGCACAAGAGGTTACTTAATTTACATATGAAATGAATGAAAGAGAATGAGAGTAATAGAGGTAAAGAGGGGGAGTACGTGATGCTACCTGACCTAATTAGGGATTAGGTACAATGAGAGATGAGAAGCAGTGCACGGAAGTCAGAAGAGTGATGAGAGAAATAGGTGTTGTAATGGTCATATATATGACAATCCCGGACGCCTTTTACACGTTATTGTTGTTAATGTAACCAATGTATCTCACAGTACAGTTGCATGCACGCTTGCAATTGCTTTCTCGATCAATATTTGGCCAGCCCTGCACATATATATACACTCCCCACCTAATTGTATTAATTTTCACATCAGTAAATTATTCAGTTACCGTACGTGCATGTGTGTATATATTATCTCCTACTACTTCTACGACTGCACCAAAACACGTTACTGGAACCACGTCATTCAAGTAGCCATATAATTCAAGCGAATATTGTGTGGTGGAAGTGGATTCTATATATCTAGGCGAATCTTGAAGAATCGTGGATGCCTTATGCAGCTTAAAAGAAAAAGCGTTGTAAGCGAGAATGAGGAATAATAGTGAAACAATAGCAGATTAAGGCTGCGTGAAATTAGAGCAGCAAGTTGGGGTGGCTAAGGATTCCAACAAAATGGGAGTGGGAATCGTTTAGGCTGGTGGATTCCATATGTCCCTGGCACTGTTACAGTAATTAGAACTGTGCATGGATGGTGGATTCCATATGCGTCGTTTTGGCTATCCTTCTCTTCTTCCGTCATCAAATATTTTAGTCATTTTCCACACTTAAGTATTCCGTCGTCGTCATCCATCCCATTGTTCTAGCGCAGCTAGGTGGGATCCGTTTTATTTAAATGTCATCTTACTATTTAATTTGCTTCAAATCTTTTATAAAGTTCAGATGGCAATGTATATATGGATCTTAGTAGTAAGGCCACTAATTAAGTCAGAGTAGACTAATATAGTGTACACCTCATGCTGCTATACACTGGGTATTGCAATGAGATTAGAGGAGAGACGACAATACGAGGAGGTCCATTTGTCGCCCCACAATTGTTCGGAGCATATGACACTATCAATATTGCGAAGTCCCAATGGAGCCACCAACTAATCCTTATTCCTCTATGATTTAAATAAAGTTTTTGGTCCTCACAGGACATGTTTTTATATATGTGCTTCTTGCTTTTCTATGTGAGTATCCAACTCAGGCTACATATAGCTCATTATCACCTAAAAACCACAGACCCAGCAGGGTCCCTTCCTCAGAAATTTAGTGCCAAATTATACCTGTTTGGTCAATATTTATTATAACATAATAAAAGAGATAAGAACATCTATTTATATATGACCACGTGACCTTAATTAAATTTGAATGGATGTCTATCGCTATTGATTATAACTATTTTTTCACTCGGATCTTCTTATATGATGATATATAAATACATGTACTACCTCTAGTTTTAAATATAAGATTTGATTTGTAGTGTAATTTGCAGTAAAAGGTGTATCTTATATTTGGGATTAGAGGGAACAAGCTAAGAAAAGATTTGAGCTGTTTCTAGAGATACTTGCATTAAATGTAGCTAATTACCAAAAGAAATGGACATGCTTAGTTCGAACAATTGTGAAATTGAATTTACGTAAAGAGAAAATGGGAAAGTTGACAGGTAGGTAGTTATTAGGAGGACAAGAATTTGGGCATAAATAATGAAGAATGAGGAAATGAGTGTCCACTGCTAAGGTAAGCTAAGGCCAGTTAGTGCACTAGGAAAAGGCCTGGATTGGCATGATGATAGAGCAAAGAGCTCTATTAATTAGTATGCATATATGCCACTTTGTTTTCTATAGTTTTTGTCAACTTCATATATATTTCACAGGTGGCTATCACGGGATACTCTGATTTTGAAAATATATACACGCACACACCCCCCCCCCGTCTCTCTCTCTCTCTCTCTCTCAGAGCATTATTTTTACACAAAAAGATATATAGATGGGATCGAATTGGAATGGAAAATGATAGGAGAATTAGGAATAGGAAGGGATGGTATTGCTGATATTTTGAGGCGCTGACCAATGGGATGCCCAGTGCTGAATCTAATGGTATTCCACGCTATCCAAATTCACCTATATCGCAACTTCACTTTCTAGGATGCCATATATATATACTCCTCCGGTCCTAAATGAAAGACCCTTATACTGTCTTACATTTAGGACCGGAGGAGTATATATATTTCCTCATATATAGGCTAGCTTGCTCTTGATCCTATTATATAATCATATATTCTATATTCTATTCATATTCATGTCTGAGAATTTGCTGACATATACATGCAAGTTGACATCTTGCCCTAAACAAGAAAACTCGCCCCAGCATCATACGTTCATATTTATGATTTTGCTATCTACAAACCAAAGTAATGGGCGATCCTATTACAAGCTAGCTGGATACACATTCCTTAACAAGAATAAAAGGCGCAAACATAAGCAGGCTTGGCATTTAGGTTACGTGTGAAGGCTCAAAAGAGGTGCAAAAATGCAAGCTGTCAGAAAATGAGAGCAAAACGTTAATTTAATTGAAAACGATGTGTGAATTGCGGGGCGGACCTAACCTCTCCAATTTGTGGCCCCTTCCATCTCTACAACGCTGTTCTGTCTTATAGAGTTGCCGATCCAAGTGGGATTAATAATGCAGCACATGAACCTTCATCACCAAATCGTATCGGCATGATCTTGTGTAAACTCTGCAACTTTTTGTGATCCTTATAGAGGCTTACATCTCAATACCCCTCGATATGAAAAACTTTTGCTTCGATGGAGACTAAAAGCAAATTAAAAGTTGTTGATTGCGTGTGAAATTAAACCGTTTCAATCTGTGCGTGTTGTAGTGCCCAAAACTAGTACGAAGTTCCTCCCACTACTTTGTACTTTCCTCATCCTCACTTCTCCATTGAAACATTCCCTACTTCTTCTCACCCACAATGACGCAGCTTTCCAGCAAAAATAAAAGCAAAACGTGTATCAAATAAACCCCATATACTAGACAATATTCATTTTAGACGGCCTTACTAATTATAATTGCTTTAAAATTCAGCTATAAAATTTAAGTTTAAAGGTATCAAATTACCCCTCCTGATATATGACAGAAGAAGGAATATTTCAACCGAAATAAAGATATCTTGTGAAGATCAGATGATGATGGGAAAGGGGAATGATATTATGAGTTCGAGAGTCGGCAATAGGCCATCGCACATTCCCACAATCAAAAGATTAATCATGTTTATACTGATACCAAAACTTTCCAGGCAGTGCGGGA